AATATAGATGGGGTAATTGGTTATTCCTATACTGGTATTGGTAATGGGGTAGTGGTAGTGATATAGTTGGTGAGGTGTAGGGGGGAGTATAGGAATAATCGTCTAATGGGTTGACTGGTGGTATTATTACCCGAAATGGGCAAGGGTTCTGCTCACTAATGGTACCCTAATGTTGGGAAACCCTGTTTCTATCAACCTCGAGCTTAAGCCTTGGTCCCCACTCACTTAGCAATTGTAGGCTCGTGATAAGGCTCGGGGTTTATAAACCCTAAACCCTAAACCCTAAACCCTATAGGGTTTAGGGTTTTAGGGTCTAGGGCATCCTCTCTAATTTCGATAATCCAGTTTCTATTTCATGTTCCATGCTCTTTTCCATTTGATTCTCCACTAATGCGGGTAATGGTACCCAATATAACCCCTATATACCCCCTATATTACTATAGTGTACCAGACACTCCCTTATTTGTAGTCAGCGTGCAGGAAGGGCTGTGAAGGGGAAGGGGCGGGTCTACCTCCATGCGGATTCAATGCAGACCATCTTCGCCATCATTATAGCGGCCTCCAAGATTAGTTTAAAGTTTTGGCTATTATAATCATAATAACAACCAAAGATCATATTTATTGGTGGGGTTCTGGGGCCGTTATAGATCTCCACGGCCATAAAGCCGAAGCTGTAAACCCTACACCGAGGATATTGGCCATGCTCCTGTCACCATCACCTGACAGTGTTGGCCCTGAACCCTGTACCTTGGCAAAGACCGTCACATGAGGGATTGTCTGAACTCCTTGAAGGGGGATACAGGGGATATTATACGGGGAGTAGTATAGGGCTCGTTGAGGTGGACACTAGGAGTTTGGATTATAGCTCACATGAGGATTGTCAAAATTACCGTTCCTGCGTGGGCACCCCACATATTAGGGGCTCTAGGTATTGTGATAGGGACGCACAAGGGACCACTTCGACAACCTACCACGTGAGGCGGGTCTATTAGTGTCATGGCTCCGGTGAGTGTAACTCAGTTTCTCTGTGCATTGCTGGGTGTATGTCTGTTGTGCCCTGTGAAGGGGACTTTCAGATTCGTAGACATCTAGCCTAGACAAAAGTTTCAGAGTATTATTGCCCGCTCTCCTACATGTGGAGTGTTGAGCAGGCAGGGGAAAGAGCGTGGATGGCGGGTTGAGGGGTCCCAGGGGCAGACACATTAGCAGTCAACAAGTCTCCTCCTTCAGATGGACTTCCCTGGCTCTCCGTACCCAGAACTTCCCTCCAACGTGAGCCAAGGGCAGGGTGGTACGAAGCACTGTCGCATCCAAGCCTACCGCAACAGAAACCGGATTGTCTCTGACATACTTCTAGTGCAAACAAAATGGAATAAGTTGGTCATGAAGATTCCTTTGCTGGGGGCATAGACATGCGCGAGTGACTTGTGTCCATCTGGGTCGAATTCTCTTTCTCTTCCTACAACCTGCTGGCTATCAATGGTAAGAGTACACATGATAGATGCCCGCGGTTTCGGGTCAAGGGCTTAGGGTCAAAACCAGTGGCCATGTTACCATCACCTGAGGGGAGTGTACCCGGCCCCTATCTTGGCAGTCGGTCTCATGAGCTTAAAATCATCGAAGACGCTTGGAGGGTCCATGCAGTTCACAAAGAAGGCCATCATGCTGGTAATTCTTGGTCTTTGAACTGCCCTATGACACCATATCTCAACTCAGAAGCTTGGACCGGGCGCATGCTATCAATTTCGCCCTGTGTGAGAGCTGCGCCCATGTTTAACGCACAGAACAAGCTCGAACGCCTAGTTCGTCTACAAGACCTCAAGTAGTTCTTATCGACTGCGGCGCAAAGCAACCCTATGCCCCAACTCCCAAACACCAACTCCTGCCACCTACACCTTGGGTACTGCCCCCCCACTCTGTAACAGTTGGTAATATCTATATAGTTCTAGATAGCCCTTAGTATGACCCCTACTGTACGTAGACGATTACAGGAGGCTACTGCTAACCTACACCCCAAAGAGCAAACCCTGAGCCCTAGATTAGGGTTTATCTTGGATCCTGCACGCCAAATCCTTTCCAAAAGCCCTTGCGAGGGGAGTCTGAAACATCCTAGGCAGCGTTCCCTCATAATTGGTTGCTGCTAAGGAACTGAATTTGAAGTACGATGCTAGGGGAACCATTTTGAGTGTTATTTATACCCATTATGGTAACTTAATTTAAGTTCATTCAGAGCAACCTTAACAGCAACTCTGCATGGTCTTGCGTAGCCGTCGTCTACTGTACGAGAGAACAGACTAAGACTTTGTTCTTCCCATCTAAGGCCCTGTGTTAGATCCTGGGCAGGGCACTTGAATGGTCGGTCCGAATTTTTGTGGGAAACAGTGGTCATACTCATATCTACACCCTAAACTTTATACCATGCACCCCGCACCCTGACCCCACGGCCAGGCAGAGCGCATCACACCCCAAATCTAACGCTTTACTGGGTTGCTGTTAAGGAACTTAAACTAAGTCACTATATCGGGGAAACCCTATGATTTACTATATCTGCCCATTCTGGTACTTCAATTTTAAGTTCCTTAACAGCAACCCAATTTAAGTCTGACACCCGTACCTTCATGCCCTACCTCGGCCAAACTAGAACTAGAACGACCTCACCCGACCTCACCTGAAATTTGTTACAACCCCTGTATAATTAAGCAGTCTCCATTTCATTTTCCATTATCCCTATATAACCCTATAGAACCCTTACATAACCCCTATATAACCCTATATAACCCCTATATAACCCCTATATAACCCCTATATAACCTAATATATAACCCTATAGAACCCTTATATAACC